TATTGTGAAGATATATAAAACCGGTATAGGTTCTGATCTTTGAATAATTTTTTAAAATTTACAATGATACTGATGTGTGAAGTTAGTGTATCTGAGCTTTCGAAACGAAATTTCTTAAGGTTATTTTCCAAAGAATTCCCTTGTTCTCTGTGACTCCGACATTCCAGGGAGCCTGCTGCTGCTCCTTCCTGGCCCTGTCCCCTCCTTTCGGGCTCATCTCACTCCTCCTTCTCATTTCCTCTTTCGCCTGCCATTCGCCGACTGGCTGGGAAGGCATTTGAAAAACGTTGCCGCATTTTTTGCGTGTGGTGGCACCAGGCAGAGGCAGCGGCAGTGCCAGCAACAGCAACAGCAACAGCGGAGGGGAAAAAACATGAGAAGCCACTGCGGCAAAGGAATGAACTAATTGTTTTCAGTTTTTCATTTTTGTTTTTTCGTACGTTTCTCTGGGGTTTCTTCGGCGTTCAGCGTGTTTTTGTCAACATTGCAACTGCCTTACCCATCATTATGGAGACGGATTGTGGCCAGGCCAAAAAATTCCAGTGAAAAAGTCCATGGGCAGAAATGAATTATAAAATATTCGGAAGACACTGAACACACTTTTTGGCAGTGTGGTAAAAATATGATTAAAGATTAAGAATTAAAAATAAGATGCTGGATGAAGTTTGCTTCTAAACTGAAATAATAACAGGAGTTCTCTCATATGGAATATGGAAAGCAAGTCTACTCAAGTAGTATAAGTCCAAACTATAACTTCATTTCTTTCGGTGCATGAAAAAACATTTGGCTGAGTTATGTTCGCCATTCGCCGGACTTCAAAGTCAGTCGTCGTCGTCGTCGAGGAGCAGGCACAACAAAAGGCCTGTGTTTGTGTGTGACATTATCAGCGTTAAGTCGCTTCAAATGCCGCCCTGATGGATTCCTCATGCCCCTGTTGTGCCTTTTGCCATAATTACAATGCAAACATAGCGCCCTCTCGCTCTGGGGCACGTAAGCCTGGTAGCAGAAATAGCAACAACAACAGCCCGGCGCTTGGCATTTGCGCACCGCGCTCCGATAAGACCACTCGCCGGGTTGCCTTTCTTATCAGAAACGTCCGGCGGATTAACTCTGTGAGTTCCTCATTTTCTTCGAAAGCTGCTTCATAGATATTTTTCGGCAGATAGCCGGCCAAATGCAAGCACATTAGTTGTTGTACTAATATTTATCGGAGGGGCGGGAATAAACGCGGGAATTTACAAGGCAGGGTATAATGACAGTCGCGGGATGACACCTAAGCTGGGGAATCTTAGGACTGAAAATGTTGATAAAGATACCATAATATTGAGGTAATGTTATGTTAAGAGAGTTAGCTTCCCAATTGTATTTCAAAATATCTCTTCAGAAGTGGGTTCTTGTATCAAATGCCGCTAGATATTGATAGTGTGTGATATCAGATTGATATATGTACTTTGCCCTGCCTAAGGTTAAGTCATGCGGCCTATATATGCACGTACATAGGCGTATATGGCTGATACGGGCCTTTAGCTAGCGATAAGCCGCTGGCAATTGTCATAAAAAATACGTTTTACGGCATTCCTTTGGGTATCGGACTGTTCCCGGCATCAAAAGCCCCCTTCGGAGCCACCCTTTCTTAATGGGTTCTGATTTTCAAAATCAAACAGTTTTATTGTCGCCATCGCCATCGTCGATGTTGCTGTTGGTGCTTTATGGCTGCCATCTATGAGGTTGCGGCCTTGTGTGAAGTTTTATTTTTACTTTTTTTGAGAGAACTGCTTGGCTTTCGGACTTTCGTTCGCCGGCTAATGCCTTGCTCAAATATTTACAATTACTTAACATAAAACGCCGCCTCGGTTTGTCACCACTGGCTTAACGGTGGAGTGAAAAATGGGTAAAAGATGCGCACACCTTCGGCTGTGTGGATATAACACCAACTATAAATCTTAAACAGATGGTATATACATCTGGACCAAAGATACCTTCATTAGTTTATTTCAAATATATAAAAACAAAGTTGCGTATTAAAGCAGGTACAGATGTGATTTCAGCGGATTGCACTGAGAGAGGGAACTTAAGTATTGGCAACCAAACTGTAGATACAAAATTTGTATCTGCTTGTGGAGGGAACTACGTAACAGGCAGGGCTGGCAGTCGCATGATGGTTATCTATGAAGGCAGCCCGGGGAGACGCACTTTCAATTAATTTACTTGTAATTGTCGCTTGACGAGCACTTTGTCGGCACTTGATTGCAACGCCCACTCGCCAAACAGCAACTCGCGAGCATGGAGACAAACAAACAAACAGGCAAACAAACAAACCCACAAACTGTCAAAAAGATAAACTGACTAGCCGAGGAGAAATGCACTTTCGGTGTTCACTCTCGATCTTGGACACGTCACGGAACCGACCTTCTCGGTGGTGTTTTCATTTCCATTTGATCTATTTGCACCCACAACGCCGCTTCACGTGGCAGCCCTGCGTTCCACGGTGCGTATGTGTGCTCTTCCAATCTTCTACTACTGATAAGGCAAACTATTCGTATTCAACCTTACTGCTCCAAACTTAATAGATTCATAAACAGTTTGAAATACTGAACAAAAAGAGAAAGGGTTTCATACTCGGGTTTTTTGCTAATAAGATAAAATATTTCAGTACTTAACAGAGAAACCTTGTATCTAGATGAACCACAAGGGAATATATTCAAATAGAAATGTAAGAACACAGGCAGTGGGGTAAACATCTTGATATTAATTATAACCCTGTGGGCTTCCATTGCCACTTTAAGTGCGCCTCATATAAACTTCCCTCTGGCTTTCATCCCATTTCATGTGAAATGTACCAGCATGTACTTGGCCATTGCTCTAGACTCTAGAGCATTATGTAAATACAGCCATTCAGTACCGTGTATTTCTTTTGATGCTTTTTATTGCCGCTTGATGTGGCTGCCGTGGGGATCTCTTTTGATTTCAGTGTTTCTGTATAGTTTCCAGATGCTTTGATCTGTTTTACGTGGTTCCGATTCAATTTGTTGCCTGTTTTCGGATCTTTTAGAGGCAGGATGGCTGCTTAATTGCCTCTTGAGGCTTGGCCGCGTTTCGTTTACTGTCTTCTTTTGTCTAAACAACGGCCAAGAAATGAAAGAAACCCGAGGAAACTGAGAAAACTGAGGAAACTGAGATAACCGAGAAAAACATAGAAACCAAGTCCCAGATCGGACAATGCCTTTTCTTTTCTTCGTCTCCAGCGCCACGATAAAAAGTAGGCGGCAACCAGCTCGGCGAACGCCCCACAAAAAGTCCAAAAACTAAAACCCAGAGCCGAAGAAAGGAGAATATCCAAAACTGCAGTAAAAAGCCTATGGTCAGTAGCTTCTGTCGCATTTTCCCTGCCTCTGTCAGTGATGCCAGAAATACTGGACAAAAAATTAATACCTACGATTAGATTTATTAACGTTAAAGTATAAAGAACTAACCTTTCTTATAGAAATTGTAGGAAATATATTTTCGAGAATGGGAAATGGGTTGAGACACCTGAAAAGTAGCTAGATTGGCCGGGAAAACAGCTGACCCTGTCATCTCCGATGTCTGCACTTAGCATCGACTTTGAAAACAACAACAAAAGCGGCAGCACCGCGTCATCGGCATCGACATTTGCCTTTTCCATCCAAAAGAGGGCATGGGCATGAAATGCAAGATACGCTCAAAGGAAACCGAACTCCGGCCGAAAGGTGTTAATGGACCCGACTGTGCACACAGATACACCGACACACAGATGCAGCTTCTATCTTAGCCAAGTCCAATCCGAATCTGATACTCATCAGTCCACACGCAGGGAAATGGAATGCTAATATCAGTGGAGTTCTTAAAGGCATTAGCTATTCTTGTTGTCGAAATAGTAACATAGATTTTCTCTCAGTGCCGACTGAAATGCTGGAACATTACCCTCCCAGCGGCAGCTCTTTCTTCTCGCCTTTCTCTCTTTGTCGCCGGCACAATCGCACAGGTCTCCCTGGCTAACTGAGATCTTTTGTGGCTCTTTTTTAGAGATTTCTACTAAACGACCTGCCCATTCCGCCGACTCTTTCCTCGGCGGCTCATTTCACGCACTCTGCGGCCACTTAGCAATTTCCATGGGCCATTTTCACGGTAAATTATGGACCAAGATGACCCCAATGCTTAAGTCGCTGCTTATTTGGCCATGCTACAGCCGAGAGTATTTTAAGAACTTAAAACTTGTTTAGTTCTTACCACAAGACTATTTACGGTTGCTCTTAATGTTATATTTTTAAAATACAAATTAAAATACACTCATTACCCAAGCAGAGCCTCAACCAACTGTCTCGAAAGTATTTTGTAAAAATAAAATAAATCCGCGAAGTGAACGTTGAGCGTGCAGTGGAAGCGTGGGCTGTCAAGAGGATGAGTGGGGCTTGAGGGGGCGAAAGAGCCGCACTTTGATGAGCCGCCGCCCTCCGAAAATCTCCCCCCACAAGTCCGATCCCAAGAGGGCCCCACGTAGCCGTCATTCATAACTTTGGACATTTGGCAAGAGTTTGTGACTTTTGAGCAATATTTTGTTTGCTGCTGGCTGCTGGCTGATGCCTTTGTTTTGCTTGACTTTTTCTTAATAAGGATTGTTCGTGAATTGGTTCTCTAATAAGAGTTGCTGGAATCCTAAATCATTATCACTAGTTTCTATGTGTTTTTCACTTGCTTTGAGTTCGATTCCATACTGTAGACATGGAAGCTTCAACATACGGTTGAGTACTTCTAAAAACTGAGAGTTTCTTAAAGCTACCTGCCTGGCTTTTGGCTTTATTGTTTATTTTCATTTTTAGTCGCTGTTTTAGTTTTTTTCGCACGTAAGCGACGAGAATTATTTTTATGGGCCACACAAAAGCCGGGCTTATCAACAGTGTGGGATCGCCGAGACCCTGGACGTGCCTGCCTTTTGGCTCACAGCCATTTACACACAAAAGTTGCTTTTCGGCTCCACTTACCTGGAGCTCAGCCTCCAGCTGATTGGTGTGACCTGCCAGGTTGGGCAATGCGGTCATGTTGTAGCCAAGACCTTGGCAGGCGGAAACGGCGATGGGCTGGCACTGTAATCCATTCGGGCCGGCTGCCACCGGGCCGTTCTGGCTAGGATTGCTGGCCGAGGTCATGACCACGGCCGAAATCAAAAGCAGGATCTGGTTGGTGTACATTTTGACTGGCTGTTTCATACTATGCGGGTTTTTAGGGGGTCATGTTTGACACTCCGGGAACTTTTGTTTAAATACCACTCGCGAGCACGTAAAAAAAATGGCCTGGATATGGGATTGTTATTTGATTGCTTCGATCTCTAGTAAGTTACGTATTTCTCAGATCTCTGGAAAACCCGCTCATAGAACTGTGAAACGTGAAACGTGACCGCTGGTCTCTGGTCTTACGAACAAACTGCCGGCTCTCGGCCGCCAGTCGTTGGGTTTTGTCCGCTGAAAGTGCCTCGAACCTGGTCGAGTGCCGACCTGCAACATGTTCGATGGTTCAGTGGCTAATGAAGACAAATAAATGTACGGTTTCCATACCCATTCCATCGGAGAGCAAACAATCCCTGGAAGGCGATAGATGCACTCCCAGTTACGGAACAGGATGATATATGATGATGGGTGGATAGTAAGTGCTCCTTTTTTGATCGTTCAGACCACCATCCGCGAGTTTTTTACACTTGAATCCGTACCCATGGAGAACCCACTCATGGCTCAGCCATACAGATGGAAGCGGTTCACCCAGCACGTGAGCTGGGGAAGCTGGGGAAGCGACGACCCTGCCATCTAATCCAAAGCGTCGACATACTTCTACACAGAGAGAAAAACGTTGATCACTTGAGGATCAGACAACTACTATAAGGGGACCTGCTAACGATTTTCCAAGTGCAGAAATATGTCTGTGAAATGTGAATTGTAACAAAACCTTTTCTCTGAGTGTAAGGTGACGAAACTCGATCGGCAACGTCGGCCAACCGCAACAGCAACATCAAACGCAACTGAACGATTGCCGGACTGGGGGCTAGGTGAGTTGGACGGAGGAGGGAGTGGTTGCAGAGGGGGTGGGGCTGGCAGGGGATGAGGTGGATGCAATTGAACACCGCGATCCCCACACGCTGCAAATGTCGGCGTCGGCGATCTTTGATGTGTGCTTTGATTTCCGGCAGCCAGATAAGATTTTTGCTCCTCCTCTGGGCCTCTCCCTTTGCCCTGGCCCTCTTGTAAAGCTTTTCCCGGGAGCCGCGCAGAAAATCGCAGATCCAAGCGAATTGTTGAAAATTTTATTATGGCTCCATGATCTTCGGCAGTTTGGATTTGGGTCCAAATGAAAATCTAATCAACCGGATGGGTAACCACTTCTTCGGATATCTTTTTCCCTTCCCAACACGTGAAAAACATGAACAGAGAAAAGTTGAGTCCAGTGGCGAGGACTGGAACGATCATGGGTACGATCTATATCTATTTGTTTTATTGTAGACCAATATGTACGGGCTAATATGGTTCCACTTGTTCCATTGTGTGGCTTACTTCCCTGTTTAAAAAACACAATAATCATAAGCTCCAACCACTTAACGTTCGGGTCGATCCGGATCTCTAGATCTCCCAATTGTCATCGCTGATAATCCCCCATGTAAGTACTGCCCGAGAAGAGGAAAAGATACGGGTAATCCGTACAGTGGAGGGGAGATGGAGGAGACACGGAGAACCAGAGTACCGGAGAGCCGTCCGCTTTGTTTGTTTGTTTTTGTGCTGTTGATTCTCAAAATCCGCCAGTTGTTTGAACTTGGATGCGCACGTAGAAGTATCATCAAAGAGATCGATCTGAGAACGGAATGAACGGACTGAATGGCGTATAATAGCTAATGTAAGCACTTGCACTTGCCCCTTCCCTTGCCCCTGCCCCTGCCACGATCGATCCTCGGCCTCCTTTGTTTACCCAAAACCCAATATTCATTCCACATTCGGGTTTCTGTTTTTTTGTTTGGTGCCCAAGAGTGTTTCTGCTAAGTGCTCCGATCGGAGTACTCCCCTCTCCATCATCTCGTGTGATTGCTGGTCGGGATTAGTCCATTTGTGGTAATGTGGTGCCTTTGTTAGGGTTCTCTTTTGGCCGGATATAGGAAGCGATCGTAAACGGTGGCCATGAATAGTCATCACTTTCTCATTTCAATTTGTATATAGTTTTATTATTGTAGCCCCATACTATATCTCTCTGATCTAGAGAGAGTGGCTATATCTCCTGCCAGTTGACACTTCGAATCATTTTCCGTGAATCAAAGAGACGCCGCTCGGAGAGGATTTGCTCAACCGTTAAGCGCTGTCAACATGTTAAACGATCATATTTTCCACGGTGTCTTTCTTGCTATTTTCCATCCGCCATCGACCATTTTCCATTCGGCTTTCCCAGGTTGACGGTTGACTTCGGTTTCTTTGCGCTTTTCCCCCGACGCTTGACAAAGATGTGCCAGTGTATGTGGGCACGACCCGGTGGTCGGTTATCCCGACATCGCGACTTCGCGACGTCCCGTCCGACATGAGTCACCGGTCAGAAACGTAAACGTATCCCACAGATACGCGAATATCCAGCGCTCTTTCGGCCTTTGCGAGCGTTCCATTAACTAGTTTTCTGGTCGGCCGAGTTCAAAAGCGCTTATTAATCTCTGGTACTTGTGTTTAGTACTTTTAAATACGTTTTGAGTACTTTATTCAGTATGCTTGATGTTTTGCCGCGGCTCCAAGTCACGATGTTTGCTCTCCTCCCCCTTTGCTTCTCAATTCTGCTCGCCGGTGTTTGCTTTTGTTTTTGCTCTTCCTCTACCTCTGCCTCTGCCTCTGTCTCTGCCTTTGCTCTTGCGAATTGGACGCGCGTCAATATTTATTTTATTTATCTTCTTGGTCGGCCAGCTCGCCGGAATAGGGGGAGAATTCGTGGTAGGAGGGGGTTTTAGAGAATGAATTGGATATCGGAACCACAATATTTACCTAGTGAACTGATATACTTGATCTTCCGCAAGTAAATTCACAGTTATACGATCAATATTTCATGTTATATTATACAAAATCAAGAAGAGTCGTAGAAGTTTTTTGCTGTGGAGGTAGTAACTACACGCAGATGGGGGCAGGTGGCGGGCTGGGGGGCTTGAACGCCCTCGTAAATGGCGCACGCCTGCCATTCAATCCGCTTGGCGACTCCCGGCGGGAGTTCTTTTGGCCAACTCTTTGTGCCCGTACGCTTTACTTGATCCGCTTGCAGAAGCCTTAGGAATAATGCGATAATTACAATGCCAAGAATCATTCGTTGGCCGGGGACACCGTGTGAATCGCCGCGGCTCAGACTAAAGGAATCTAAAGTTACTCCCAAAGCGAGTTAAAGGGGGAAAAGCCTGCACTGCCTACCAAAGAGAATTACATCGGATTATCCTGCTTCTACAGTTACACTAGCCACATAAATCTTCGACTTGAATGTGGCAAAAACAGTGCGATGCCTGTGTACGACCCAGGAATGGAAAGTAACTACTCGCTTTGTAAACAAATACCGTACGTACATGGGGAAAAGGTAACTAGGATAGCGCGGCGTTAGCCCAACTCACTCCAGTTGAGCTTAGCAAATAATAATGTATAAATATCTACCGACTATAATACCCTGTTATTCGATAGGCCCAATTAAAAGAGTTATGAGTCTGTGGGAAACCGATACGCAGCTGAAGAATAAAAGTTTGGTGGATGCGGAACCCAAAAAACAATAAACCTCCGCCAGACAATAAAACCCCATAAAAAACGGCGAATGGTGAAAAAATGGCAAATAAAAATGACAAAGGATCGCAGGCACTCGTCAGCGTACGGTTCCCTTTGTGATGGCCCTAGACATTCGTCTATACGGCGGAATGTTGGAGGGAAGTTCACGGCAAAAATAATTTGCCACATCCTGGCAGCAGGAGAGGAACGGAGGGACCGTCGGACGGTTAGACAGGAACTGGGATGGCGATAAGGCGGCATCGGCGAAAGATGTGAGCCGCACTGGGGTGCTAATAAAGTTGCCCGCCAAGACATTAAGAGCTCCGGGAAGGGGAACTCGAACTCCCCTCCTTCGGCTTTGGCTTCGGCTTTGGCTGCGGCTCTTTCCAGGCCCTGTGTAGGTGCTAATTCAGCGACCTCACAGAGATACAAATGCGACTGCGAAGGCAGAGGGTTCCGCGGAATTTCCATTTTCGACCGAAATGAACTTTAGATAAGGGACTAAATGTCAAAATTATCAACACACCCGGTGCCGCAATTAACCCATGGCGAGCTACTGTCATCAAATACCCCTAAACTCGAACAGGAATGCAACGAATTCAGCATTCGGCAGTAAAAAGCAAATGCTTTAGATCAAACTGAGGGGCTCTTATTAAAGCTTCAAGGTATCTTAATTGAGTTTTAAGGAAGTTTTGGATCGAGCTATACCCTTCGAAAATATTTTATTTTCTACCCTATTTTTGAACAGTCTGCAGCACAGCGGTTCCCATGGGTTAAGAGCTCCGATACGGCTCGGGTCTTTGAGCATTGAAGATTGCAGACCAGCGAGGATGATCGGGGCGAGGACGACGAATACAGAGCACATGGGACAGACAAAGTGCAAATATATGTTGCCAGACCACAAAGCCGGACCTGAAGCCATAAGCCGAAGGAGGGCGGGCCAGAACCATGGGGAAAATAAAAAAAAAGAAGAAAAAACACGGCTGAGTGGCCCGCCTTGCCTCGAGATGCCAAAGTGCATCAGGCACTAAAGTGCAGAAAATTGAAACAGGCTTTTAATGAAACGAAAGCGCCGCGAGAGATGAGATGCGCGGATGGTTGGCTGGATGCTGGATGGTGAATGGTGGATGGTGGATACTGGCCAGATCGGCTGGCTATCTATGGGCTCTCAGATGGTGGCAAACAAGAGCAAGTAAGCGCTCAAAAAATAAAATAAAGCGAACACAAAGAGTCAATTAATTAGTAGATGGATCCACGATTATCGCTATATTAACATTGCGCTGCAGTTGGAGTCTGACTTGGGGCTCACTGCGAGAAATGCTATATCTGAATATCTTTTAATATATATTTTTTTATTTAATAAGTAAAGTTTTTATGTCTTCAATTTAGGGCCAGTATAGAAAAGAAACAGTTAGGCAAGACATTTATTTACAGATTTCTTGCTTTTCTATATTTTTTTTAGAAATTTGTATAAAAGGAAATTAATAATTATTTATAAATGGTATTTCCTATTTTCTTCCAGTGCCGAGACTGTGGTCCGAGAGTGGTCTTCCTTTTACTTAAGATAAGAACAGGGAATGGAAGCTGAGGCGTTCATTAAATGATAACAGAGCGGCGGACGGGTCGCATGATAAGGCCATTTGAACCCGCTCAGACAG